AAGGACTTCCTTTCTCGGGATCCAGCTCACCTGTAATCTTAGGGCTTCTGGCAGGCAAGGCCACTCTTGTCTAGAACAAGCTGGGAAGGAGATGCTTTCAGTGCCTGGTGCCCCGCTCACCTCCCCAGTTCCACCCACTAATTCCATGTCCTTCCCCTTATCCCCTCTGTCTTCTCTGAGCACCTGCTCACCTCTAACCTGCTCTAGTTTACACTAACATCTGTTGAGCACCCTCCTTATTCCAGTCCTTATTCCTTTTTTTTTTTTGACCCGGAGTTTCGCTCTTGTTACCCAGGCTGGAGTGCAATGGCTCGATCTCGGCCTCCTGGGTTCAGGCAATTCTCCTGCCTCAGCCTCCTGAGTAGCTGGGATTACAGGCACGCGCCACCATGCCCAGCTAATTTTTTTGTGTTTTTAGTAGAAACGGGGTTTCACCATTGTTGACCAGGATGGTCTCGATCTCTTGACCTCGTGATCCACCCGCCTCGGCCTCCCAAAGTGCTGGGATTACAGGCGTGAGCCACCGCGCCCGGCTTCTTATTCTTATTCTTATTCCAGTGTTCTTCCTTATTCTGCGATTTCTGTGATACTCCGCTTTATATTCATTATCCAAATCCATTTATGCTCCCAGGAAGAAACTGATAAGCATATTCATGGCAGGGTTTATAAAGCAGATAAGGTTTAATGGGCTAACCCCAGGCAGTGGAAACCAAAGACCTTGCAGCATTGTAAATATAAAAATATCAGTAAGCCAGGTGAGGAAGGAAAGCTGTGCCTTGGTTTCGTTTTGGTTGACTGGAAGTGGTTTCCTATAAGACCTTGAATTGTGTCAGGGATTCGCCTGCGCCTCTTTTCCAAAACGGGTCCGTGCAGTGCTACATATTAAGCATCTATTATGTGCAGGGCATTGTACTAATCTGGCAATACAAAGATCTCTGCCCAAAGGAGGCTCCCAGACTCCTGCAACTATGGAAAGGTAATAATGACATTTTTCAGAGGATTTTTTTTTTTTTTTTTTAGATGGAGTTTCACTCTTGTTGCCCAGGCTGTAGTGGCGTGATCTCCGCTCACCAAAACCTCTGCCTCTCGGGTTCAAGCGATTCTCCTGCCCTCAGCCTCCCAAGTAGCTGGAATTACAGGTGCCCACCACCATGCCCAGCTAATTTTGTATTTTTAGTAGAGACGTGGTTTCTCCATGTTGGTCAGGCTGGTCTCGAACTCCTGACCTCAGGTGATCCACCCACCTCAGCCTCCCATCTTCAACTCATCACAGGTTCAGATGACTGCTTTACAGATTTAAGTTATAAAATAAGCCCAAAGATAAGACACTAGAAAAAAAGAATGAACATACAAATGGAACTAATTTATAGTTGAGTCTCCTCTCTCAGTTACTGTAACCACCCAAGGGGTTCACCTTGCCCGCTGCCTACAGCCAATTCATCAAGATAGGGGAATTGCAATAGAGAAAGAGTAATTCACACAGAGCTGGTAGTGCAGGAGACTAGAGTTTTATTCTTACTCAAATCAGCCTCCCTGAGCACTCACGGAGCAGAGTTTGTTTGTTTGTTTGTTTGTTTGTTTGTTTGTTTGTTTGTTTGTTTGTTTTTGAGTCTCACTGAGTCTCACTCACTCTGTCTCAGAGTTTTTAAGGATAACTTGGTGGGTGGGGAGAAGCCAGGGATTCAGAAGTGCTGATTGACAGGGATGAAATCACAGGGAGTCACAGCTGTCTTCTTGACTTCAGTCAGTTCCTGGGTGGAGGCCACAAGATCAGATGAGCCAGCTTATTGATCTGGGTGGAACCAGCTGATCCATCAAGTACAGGGTCTGCAAAATATCTCAAGCACTGATCTTAGCAGCAGTTTAGGGGTGGGTTAGAATCTTGTAGCCTCCATCTGCATGACAACTAAACCATAACTTCTTTTTTTTTTTTTTTTTTTTTTTTTGGACTGAGTTTTCCTCTTGTTGCCCAGGCTGGAGTACAATGGCATGATTTCAGCTCACCAAAACCTCCGACTCCTGGGTTCAAGCAATTCTCCTGCCTCAACCTCCTGAGTAGCTGGGATTACAGGAATGCACCACCATGCCTGGCTAATTTTGTATTTTTAGTAGAGATGGGATTTCTCCATGTTGGTCAGGCTGGTCTCAAACTCCCGACCTCAGGTGATCCACCCTCCTCAGCCTCCCAAAGTACTGGGATTACAGGCATAAACCACTATGCCTGGCCATAATTTCTAATCTTGTGGCTAATATTGGTCTTACAAAGGCACTCTAGTCCCGAGGCAAGAAGGAGGTCTGCTTTGGGAAAGGGTTGTTACCATCTTTGTTTAAACTATAAACTAATTTTCCCCCAAAGTTAGTTCAACGTACACCCAGGAAAGAACAAGGGCGGCTTGGAGGTTAGGAACAAGCTGGAGTCCGTTAAGTCAGGTCTCCTTCACTGTCTCCGTCATACTTTTGCAAAGGCAGGTTCAATCTGATTTTCTGCTGTGAGTTCTTCCTTAAGGAGCCCGACCTCTCACAGGTACGAGTGAGCAGAGGAGGCCCTGCAATGGCAAGCAGGAGAAGGAAAACAGAAAGGCTTGGAAAATCCATTCCAACTGTCTGACAGTGTTGCTTTGAGATTCAGGAAATGAAGAGTGATTAGCATGACCAGGTGTGGTGGTTCAGGCCTATAATCCCAGCACTTTGGGAGGCCGATTGGCTGAGGCAGGCATATTACTTGAGGTCATGAGTTCAAGACCCATTTGGCCCATATGGTGAAACCCTGTCTCTATTAAAAATACAAAAATTAGCCAGGTGTGGTAGCGCATGCCTGTAATCCCAGCTCCTTGGGAGGCTGAGAGGCAGGAGAATCGCTTGATCTGGGAGGCAGAGATTATTGTGAGCCAAGATTGCACCACTGCATTCCAGCCTAGGCAACAGAACAAGACTCTGATTCAAAAAAAAAAAAAAAAATAGAGTGATTGGCAAAGCACCCAGCAGTACCTGATGTTATTGTTCATTCCTCTCTCACGGTCCTATCTCAGGCCTTCAAATCACTGGTAACCATAGCTGTCATTCAGCTCATGCCCTGATGAGGGCTGGGCGTGCATTTTCTCATTCAATCCTCATAGTAACTGAATGAAACGGACATTGTATGTATCCCCACATTATAGGGAGGAAACTGAGGCTTAATGCAATTAACAGCTGGCCCAAGAGAGAACCAGGATCAACTCCAAGTTTCTCCAGTCTCTGCCTCTAAGGTCATCACCACCTTAGATGGAGGCTGATGTGCACCCCCTCCAAGGGTTTCTGTGGATTCTGAGTGGAGCTCTGTGCCATGGAGGAGAGCCAGAAGGGAAGCCCCAACCCTGCAGGACTGAAGAGGCTCCCCAAGGTGCACCACCAGTCTCCACCCAAAGGGCTTTAAAAGGAAACCAGGAAGTATCATCGTTACCCACACATGGAGTCTGATGGTGTCACTTTGAGCCGAGGGAGCAGGCCAGCCTGGTCTTTGCAGGGAGGCAGGGCCCACTGGACTAGAAATTAGCTTTCTCACCAGCTCTGTATTCCTTTAACATTTTGTAATAATCAAACAGCTACTATCAGGTTCTGTGCTAGGTCCTGATTAAAATAAAAAGCATTGTTCCTGCCTTCAGAAATGGCGATAGTCTAATTTGCAGGAGGCAGGTAGGTGAAGCTGTGCTACAGTGTAGGAAGTGCTGAAAAGGAGAAGCAGTTTCAAATAAGACTGGGTTTAATTCTGAGTTTGGCACGTAAGTGCAGTGGAGTTATCTAAAAACTGTAAGCTTCAATTTCCTCAGCTATAAAATGGAGATAATGAGACCTTCTACCTCTTAGGCTTTGTTGAAAGGATTAAACAACAAATGTCTAACTCTACACTCTAAATGTTTAACTCTGAACTCTAAATGTTTAACTGTAAAATGTTTAACTCTAGGATTGTTCCTGATTATCTGGTGAGTAACTGCCAACCCTCGCAATCCTGGGCAGGTGAATTAACCCCTTCCTCTTCAGCTTCCCAATCTGTAAATTCAGGCTGACACAGCTTCCAAATTTCTGGATCTGTCAGTCAATAGAGGTCACCTAAAAACTCTGAGAAAAGTTATGAGAACATGGAATAAAAAGCCCTCAGAAGGGCTGGGCTCAGTGGCTCACTCCTATAACCCCAGCACTTTGGGAAGCTGAGACGGGCAGATCAGTTGGGGTCAGGAGTTTGAGACCAACGTGGGCGATATGGTGAAACCCCATCTCTATTAAAAATACAAAAATTATCCAGGTGTGGTGGTGTGCACCTGTAGTCCTACTACTCAGGAAGCTGAGGCAGGAGGATCACTTGGGCCCAGGAGGCAGAGGTTGCAGTGAGCTAAGATCATTCCTCTGCACTTCAGCCTGGGCAACAGAGACCTTGTCTCAAAAAGAAAAGGGGAAGGGGCGGGGAATGCCCTCAGAGAGCTTCTGGAAAAGCTGGGAGACTAAGAGGAGCAATGCATTGAACACAGAAGTGAGTGGGTGTGAGCTCTATGTGCCTGCTCTTCCCTCTGTGGTTCTTCAAAGGGTGAAGGGAGTAGAGGGCGGACAACCGGGTGACTCAGGAATGCATAGGAGAGGCCGGGCGCGGTGGCTCACGCCTGTAATCCCAGCACTTTGGGAGGTGGAGGCAGGCAGATCACGAGGTCAAAAGATCAAGACCATCCTGGCCAACACGGTGAAACCCCATCTCTACTAAAAATACAAAAACTAGCCGGGCATGGTGGCGGGCACCTGTAGTCTCAGCTACTCGGGATGCTGAGGCAGGAGACTGACTTGAACCCAGGAGGTGGAGGTTGCAGTGAGCCAAGATCACGCCACTGCACCCCATCCTGGTGACAGAGTGAGACTCTGTCTCAAAAAAAAGAATGCAGAGGACTTTATCAATCAAATTCCCATATAGAATCAAGAACAAGCCTGGCAGGTTCATGGACCAGCAAAGAGATGACAGTAGATCCTTTAAGCATCATTTAGATTTTATTCAGCGACCTTCAGGGTTGCCTAAGTCAGTGGAAGAGAGCACTGAGCTCATGCTTTGCCCACAGTCCCAGCAGTCACCCTGTTGTCTCGGATGTCTTTCCTCAGAAGCTCTCGACTGCAAGCAGCAGCCCCTGGGGTCACCTGTCCCCAGGTGCCTCATCTCATCAGGCTCGTCACAGCTCCTCCTCTCTACCGATCACCCTGGATCCAGGCCTGCACCTTCCAAGAACGCAGACTCCACCACCAACCTGTGTCCACAGAGCATGTTTGAGAAACACAGCTTGAAAGGCCAGGGATGCCTCCACAGAGTGGCCAATCACATCTTGCTAGTGTTGAAAAAGCAAATAAACACTTTCAGTCTGACCCAAAGGAGAACAAATGAGGCAGTTACAAGAAGAATGGGTGTGACCCTATAAACATAAACTGGTAGAGCTGGAAAAAACTCCTTCAAAGGGAATGGCTCACCTCGATCCATTTCCCTTGCAGTGATTACTGGGGCACATCTATTTATTATCAGCAATTGCATGCATTAGTAATGGAAATGAACGCCGTATCCCCCAGCGTTCTCTGCCCAGTTACTTGTAGTTACTTAGCTGTCTCTATTAGGTAGCACATATATTACATTCATGCCTAAATAAACAAGAAAAAAAAAGGATAATTTCCTGGCAGGAAATTCTTATGTAATTAGTCAGCAGCTCCCGCCCTGGTCTGTCACTAAGCAGCACTGTGACCTTTAGCAGGTCCACATCTCTTCATCCCCATCAGCACAACTTCAGGCCCAGACCCCACATCGCTCTCCTGGACCACCACAGTGGCTTCCAGTTCATCTCTGTCTCTAGTTTTTCTTCTCTCCCAAACATTCCCCACTCTAGAAACCTTCTGTTTAGAGATCCTCCTAAAACCCCAAATCTGCCCAACTCTCTATTGCTTAAAATCCATAACGTCTTACTCAGCCCAGCCCAGTAGCTCACACCTGTAATCCCAGCACTTTGGGAGACCAAGTGAGAGGATCACTTGTGCGTAGGAGTTTGAGACCAGCCTGGGCAACATAGCTAGATCCTGTCTTCACAAAAAATAAAAAATTAACTGGGCATAGTTGTGCTCACCTATAGTCCCAGCTACTCGGGAGGCTGAGGTGGGACTCTCCATTCAGTCTAGGACAAGTTAAAACATCCATGTATGGTTTACGAAGTCGTTTGTGATCTGTCCTGTTTACCATTCCAGAATGGCATCTCTCTCTCTCTCCATTCCATTCACCCTCTTTTTTATTTTTATTTATATTTATTTATTGAGGTTTTTTGCAGACGGAGTCTTACTCTGTGGCCCAGACTAGCCTCATTGCAACCTCCGCCTTCCAGGTTCAAGCAATTCTCCTGCCTCAGCCTCCCAAGTAGCTGGAATTACAGGCGCACACCACCATGCCCAGCTAATTTTTTTTGTATTTTAGTAGAGACATGGTTTCACCATGTTGGCCAGGCTGGTCTTGAACTCCTGACCGCAGTTGACAGCCTGTCTCAGCCTCCCAAAGTGCTGGGATTACAGGCATGAGCCACCGTGCCCGGCCCTTTTTTTTTTGAGACTAAGTCTCGCTCTATCGCCCAGGCTGGAGTGCAGTGGCACAATTTTGGTTCACCGCAACCTCCACCTCCTGGGTTCAAGCAATTCTCCAGCATCATCCTCCCAAGTAGCTGGGATTACAGGCGCATGTCGCCACGCCCAGCTAATTTTTGTATTTTTAGTAAAGATGAGTTTTGCCATGTTGGCCAGGTTGGTTTTGAACTCATGACCTCAAGCAATCTGCCCACCTCAGTCTCCTAAAGTGCTGGGATTACAGGCGTGAGCCACCGCGCCTGGCCTCTCCATTCACTGTCTTAAGTTCTACGTTCCAGCTGTATATTTACATACCCATGACTCCCCGTATAATACTCACAATGGCAACAATGACCAACATCTACTGTTTCCTATGTATCGGGTTTGTTCTAAGAAACTCTTCCTTCTGGTTCAAGTTGATGTTTGAAAAATAAAGAAAAACAAAAGTAAATAAATAAAAGACTCTTCCTGCATTAACTTATTTAATCTTTACAACTCTACTAGATAATGACTATAATTATTTCCATTTCGCAGATGAGGAAATAGACACAGAAAGGTTGAATCACTATCCCAAGTTGGCCGACAAGTAAATGGTATGAACTTGAATACACGCTGTTTACCCTGCCCTCGCCCCTTCTCCGCTCTCGGTCTTAGTACAAGAGGCTCCCTCGGCCTGGAACACCCTTTCTTGTCTCCCCTTTTCTTCACTTGGCTAACTCCTCCTCGTCCTCTGAGGACCCCCCTGGAAACATTGCCTCCTCTGAGAAGGTTCCATTCCCAGGCACGCTGCTGTCTCCCCTCAATGGCAGTTAGTCTCCAAAGACAGCGCCCACTGAATGATGCCTCCCGATAACCAGGATCTTACACAGTTCTCTCAGATGTTGAATCACAGTTGACGCCTCACTGTGAAATACAGTGGAAGTGATGCTGAATAAGTTCCAGGGCTAGGTCAAAAACAGCCTTGCAATTTCCACCGAAGTCTCTTGGAAAAGTTACTCTGGGGACCTATAAGGAACATACACAATTCAACAAGCAAAAAATAACCCCATTCAAAAAATGGGCAAAAGATATGAGCAGACACTTCTCAAAAGAACATACATGTGGCCAAGAAACATATGAAAAAATGCTCAACACCACTAATCATTAGAGAAATGCAAATCAAAACCACAAGGAGATACCAACTCACATCAGTCAGAATGGCTATGTTACACACACACATAAATATATATATATATATATATATATATATTTTTTTTTTTTTTTTTTTCCTGAGACAGAGTCTCCCTCTTGTCACCCAGGCTGGAATGCAATGGTATGATCTCGGCTCAGTGCAACCTCCACCTCCTGGGTTCAAGTGAATCTCCTGCCTCAGTTTTGTGAGTAGCTGGGATTATAGGCACACACTGCCACGCCTGGCTAATTTTTTGTATTTTTATTAGAGATGGGGTTTCATCATGTTGGCCAGGCTGGTCTTCAACTCCTGACCTCGGGTGATCCACCCACCTCCACCTACCAAACTGCTGAGATTACAGGCACAAGCCACCGCACCTGGCAGAATGGCTATTATTAAAAAGTCAAAAAACAACGAATGCTGGCAAGGTCGCAGAGAAAAGGAACGCTCACACACTGCTGGTGGGAATGCAAATTAGTTCAGCACTGTGGAAAGCAGTATGGAGATTTCTTTTTTTCTTTTCCTTTTTTAAATTTTTTATTTAAAAATCATATTTCATTTCTTTCTTTCCTCGCCCCGCCACGGCCACTGGGTTCCAGGGTGGGGTGCAGCAGTATGAAGATTTCTAAAAGAACTTGAGAACTGCCAGGCGCGGTGGCTCATGCCTGTAATCCCAGCACTTTGGGAGGCAGAGGCAGGCAGATCACCTGAGGTCAGGAGTTCAAGACCAGCCTGGCCAGTATGGTGAAACCCCATCTCTACTAAAAATACAAAACTTGGCCAGGCATGGTGGCAGGCACCTGTAATCCCAGCTACTCAAGAGGCTGAGATAGGAGAATTGCTTGAACCTGGGAGGCAGAGATTGCAGTGTGCTGAGATTGCACTGTTGTACTCCAGCCTAGGTGACAAGAGTGAAACTCTATATCAAAAAAAGGAAAAAAAAAAGAACTTGAGAACTACTATTCTACCCAGCAGTCCCACTACTGGCTATATCCACCCCCCTCCCCCGCAAAAAAAATCATTCTACCAAAAAGATACAGGCATGTACATGTTTATCAGAGCACTATTCACAATAGTAAAGACATGGAATCAACCTAGATGCCCATCAGCAGTGAACTAGATAAAGAAAATATGGTATATCTACACCGTGGAATACTACACAATCATAAAAAAGAATGAGATCATGCCCCGTGCAGCAATATAGGTGGAGCTGGAGGCCATAATCCTAAACAAATTAACACAGGAACAGAAAAAAAATACCATGTGTTTTCACTTGTAAGTGGGTGCTAAATATTGGGTAAACATGAGCATAAAGATGGCAACATGGCCAGGCACAGTGGCTCACGCCTGTAATCCTAACACTTTGGGAGGCTGAGGTGCGTAGATCACTTGAGGTCAGGAGTTCAAAACCAGCCTGGCCAACATGGTGAAACACGATCTCTACTAAAAATACACACACACAAAATTAGCCAGGCGTGGTGGCAGTTGCCTGTAATCCCAGGTACTCAGGAGGCTGGGGCAGGTGAATCACTTGAACCCAGGAGGCAGAAGTTGCAGTGAGTCAAGATCTCTCCGTTGCACTCCAGCCTGGGCAACAGAGTGAGAGGCTCCATCTCAAAAAAAAAAAAAGATGGCAGCAATCTTTATGGAGACTACTATCGGAGAGGGTTGTAGCGGGGACATGGGTTGAAAAGTTACCTATCAGGTATTATACTCACTACCCAGGTGATGAAATCATTCATACACCAAACGTTGGTCACATACAATTTACCCATATAACAGATCTGTACATGTACCCCCTGAACCTAATATAAAAGTCAGAAAAAGGAAAGAGTCACTCTGGAGCAAATCAGACACTGTAAGAAGTACTTCATGCTGTGAAGAAGCCAAGCGAGCCACATGGACAAGTTACATGGAGTTGTAGAGATGCCCAGTCAGTGCTCAGCTGTCCTAACCATCCCCAGCTAAACTACGTATGTGATGAGGAAGCCGTCTGGGATATCCAGCTTGATTGAACCTTCAGATAACACCAGCCTTGGCCACCACCTACCTGACTGCAACCACGTGAGTGAAGCCAAGAAAGAACCACGCAGCTAACGCAACCCAGTCGACCCACAGGACTGTGAGGTTTAATAATAAATTTTTATTTTAAGCCACTAATCCTTAGGGCAGTCTTACTAAGAAGTAATAGATTACCAGAACAATGAGTATACAGTGGCGACCAATACAGTGTGTCTACTCTCTAATGGCAAAGACAGTCAAGCAAACAGACCAGGAGCACACAGCAGGCTGATTTAGGGTGATGGGGGAAGGACAGTCCTGTCCTTAGCACAACTGAGCTGAAAACCAACAAAAGGAAGCAAATGCTGTGATTGATAAAAGCATGAGCTTTCTCAGCAAACTGACACGAGAACAGAAAACTAAACACTGCATGTTCTCACTCGTATGTGGGTGTTGAACAATGAGAACACGTGGATACAGGAAGGGGGCCTGGGGGTTGGGGGTGCTAGGGGAGGGATAGCAGGGGGTGGGGGATTGGGGAGGGAAACAGGAGAAATACCTAATTCAGATGAATGCGGGATGGATGCAGCAAACCACCATGGCACGTGTATACCCGTGTAACAAGCCTGCACATTCTGCACATGTACCCCAGAACTAAAAAGTACAATAATAAAAAAAAAGAGCATGAGCTTCTGAGTCACATGGAGCTGTGTTTGAATCCTAGTCCTTAACTTGTTTTTTGAATAACTTAAGGAAAGTTTCTCAAACTCTCTGAGCATTTCCTTTAGCATTTGTAAAATGGAGACAATAAGGCTTAGTTTAGAAGATAGTGACCAGGAGTGGTAGCACATGTAGTCCCAGCTACCTGGGAGACTGTGGCAGGAGAATCCTTTGAGGCCTGAAGTTCGAGGCTGCAGTGAGCTGTGATCATCCCACTGCACCCCAGCCTGGGCAACAGAGTGAAACGCCATCTCTTTTATTATTTGCTTATTTATTTTTTTTGAGACGGAGTCTCGCTCTGCCACCCAGGCTGGAGTATAGTGGCATGATGGCTCATTGAAACCTCCGCCTCCCAGGTTCAAGTGATTCTCCCGCCTCAGCCTCCTGAGTAGCTGGGATTACAGGCACCCACCACTACGCCCAACTAATTTTTGTATTTTTAGTAGAGATGGGGTTTCACCATGTTGGCCAGGTTGGTCTCAAACTCCTGACCTCAGGTGATCCGCCTGCCTCGGCCTCCCAAAGTGCTGGGATTACACATGTAAGCCGCTGTGCCCGGCCAAGGCCCCCTCTCTTAAAACTAAATGGTTATGCCGAGCACAGCAGCTCACACCTGTAATCCCAGAGCTTTGGGAGGCTGAAGCAGGTAGATCACTTGAGTTCGGGAGTTCAAGATCAGCCTGACCCACATGGAGAAACCCCGTCTCTACTAAAAATACAAAATTGGCCAGGCATGGTGGCGCATGCCTGTAATCCCAGCTACTCAGGAGGCTGAGGCAGAATAATTACTTGAACCTGGGAGACGGAGGTCACAGTGAGCTGAGATCGTGCCATTGCACTCAAGCCTGGGCAACAAGAGTGAAACTCCATCTCAAAAAAGAAAAAAATGAAGAAAGAGACTGATTCTTATACTTTGGTTTATAGTAAATAGAAGACTGAACTGTCCTCTCCACAAGGGCAGAAAATCAGTCTTGTTCATCCTCATATCCCCATGCTGATAATGGCACCTGTAGAGGGTAGCTGCTAAGTATGAAATGAATGAATGAATGAATGAAGAGCTCATAATAACTGAGCACATACAAAGTGTCAGAACTAGGCTGAGCATTTTATCTAGAGCATCTCATGTACTTTCATAACCCTCCTATGATACAGGCAGCACAGCTGTTTCTGATGGAAGCCATTCTCCTGTATTCCACACTTGTTCAACATTTCCTATCACAACCCCAGGGTTGTCTTACCGGCCAGAGAGAAGGCTCTCACTGCCACACAAAGTTGTCTTCCAATTGTTACATATATATGTGAATAACCTTTAAAGGTTTAAATCAGTTGGTGGAGGAAATAAAGCTGAGACGACCACCCAGTAGCTGGGGCAGAATGGGAGCCCCACATCTAGATCCCCTGAAGGCCATTACTGAGTATTTGCAATTCATGGATGGCAGGAATCTCAACTAGGGCAATCAAACTAGATGTCAAGAGAAGAAGAAATGAAACTACTTTATTTTATTCCAAAAAGGAAATGAAAGGAATTTCTTCAAAGAACCTCTCTAGTTCTTTGAAGAAAGTCCTTTTGTTTTTTCTTTGAGAAGTCCCTACATTTTGCTTTCTGTCAAAGAGAGAATATACCTATGTCAGAGTGCAATCAGGAAGCAGAAACCACAGAGTAATTTAAATGGGCGACACCTAATTCAAATAATTATGAAGCTAGGGTAGGAGCATAACTGTAAGACGGAAAGAGAACGCTAAAGGGAACTTTAGGGCTGAGGGAGAATATTCAAGGAAAGACATACTTAGGGGCAAGGCTCTCTTCAAAGACTGAGGTGCAGGTCTCTTTGGAGAAGGTATGGTTGCAGCCCACTGGATGGCAGAGAAGCAAGTTGCCCAGGTTCACAGTCACGGAGCAATCAGGAAACAACCCTCCAGGCACAGGTGAGCTGAGGCGGCGGGGGCAGGTGTGCAGGAGGAGTCAGGGCACCGGTGCGGGGGCAAGGCCTGGAATTCACAGCAGCTGCATCAGAGTGCCTGGGTTGGGGCTGCACAGTCACTGAGAGACTGAACATTCTGGACATACAGTGGAGTCTGCACCATTAGATATCCTCACAGACCCGCACCATGATCACTCATGCAGGAAGAATAAGAAAAAGAAAAAATGCAACACACCAGAACTAAGAAGAGAAGACTGCAATTTCCCTCTGTTGTCTTCTCCTGAGACAACTTAGCATCATTCTCACCAGAGGAGAGATGCTTAGCATCCAGACCATTATCTCAATGTGGGGCTGAGGGGCCATAAATTGATGACTAGCACAGTACCTATATATGAAAGGAAAACATGTTAAGAATATTCTTTTTTTTTTTTTTTTTTGAGATGGAGTCTTGCTCTTGTCGCCCAGGCTGGAGTTCAGTGGTGCGATCTTGGTTCCCCGCAGCCTCCACCTTCTAGGTTTAAGCAATTCTCCTGCCTCAGCCTCCCAAGTAGCTCGGATTACAGGCGCCCTCCACCACGCTCACCTAATTTTCATAATATTTTGGTCACACATGGTGGCTCACGCCTGTAATCCCAGCACTTTGAGAGGCTGAGGCAAGCGAATCACCTAAGGTCAGGAGTTCGAGACCAGCCTGGACAACATAGTGAAACCCCTTCTCTACTAAAAATACAAAACTTAGGTGGGCATGGTGGCATGCGCCTGTAATCCCAGCTACTCAGGAGGCTGAGACAGGAGCATTGCTTGAACCCAGGAGGCAGAGGTTGCGGTGAGCTGAGATCAAACTACTGCATTCCAGCCTGGGCGACAAGAGTGAGAATCCATCTTTTTAAAAAAATGAATTTATCTTAGCAACACTTTTGTACCAGGGCTCTGTACTCCATATCTGACAGAGTACAAAGAAGTGGGCATGGATTTTAGGTGCCCAAGTTTACCCTGCCTGGCAGTAACCTTCAAGTTGGAAGACAGATCCCAGAATGTCATAGCTCTGGGTGATTTCACATGGTTTTGTCATCACGGTTCTACCTACTTGCTTTATCCACCTAAATACAATTTCAACCTAAACCACCTCCTATTTTTCCTTGAGTATTTCTCAGTTAATCAAACATGAGTGTCTTTATGTAGCAACACACCTTACAATAACTGTATACTCCAATGTCAAGAATGTCTGCTATTTCTTGAGTCTATTTTGCCACTGCACCTAGTTTTCTTTGCTCTATTCTACAGAAACTTGGTGAATAAAACTGGGTCTCTATATTTGTATCCTAAATGATGTTTCCTTTCTGAGCTTCCATGATAACTTTGCCTTCTGAGAGCATGGATTTAGCTGGGCATACTGGTGTGTGCACATGGTCTCAGTTACTCAGGAGGCTAAGGCAGGAAGGTCACTTGAGTCCAGGCAGTTGAGGCTGCAGTGAGCTGTGATCGCACCAGTGTACTCCAGCCTGGGCAACAGAACAACTCCCTGTCTCAAAACAAAAGCAAAAACAAAGCAGAGTATGGGTTTGTTTCCCAGGCCTGCGGTAACAAATTTACCACAAACCCGGATGGCTTAAAGCAACATAAATTATTCTCTCACAATCTGAAGGCCAGAAGTCAAAAATCAAGGGTCGGTGGCCTACGACGTCTCTGAAGCTCCAGGGGAGGACCTTCCCTTGTGTCTTCCTGGTTTTCGGTGTTTGCCAGGAAGCCTTGGCATTCATTGGCTTGTAGATGCACCCCTCGAGTCTCTGCCTTTGCCATCACATGGCTTTGTCTTCTGTCTCTGCATCCAAATCTCTTAGAAGGACAGCAATTATCGGAGTAAGGCCCATCCTTATCCAGTATGATGCCATTGTAATTTGCACCACAAGCACCAGTGTGCTGCCCGGGTCAAGCATGGGTGTGTTGTATTCCACCTAGCTAATGGCTTAAAGCAAATTTCCCAGATTCCCCATTTGCTGGAGATGAAAAGAAGGCACCCTCATCAGAAATCTACACTTCCATGGTGTGGAATGGCTCAATGCCACTGTTCTGCAGAATAACCTCCTTCCAACCATTGGGATTGTATCATACATTTCTCCGGGTTTTCCTGGCCTCTACATGCCCCCTGCAGCCCCTGTAGCTGGGGACTCTGCTTACTGCTGTGCTTCGAACAGTATTTTGTGCATTTTGGCATCTGATAAAAGTTAAATTAGAAAACCCGTATGTGGCATCACTGCATTTGTTTTGGCATCTATCTTGCATGATCTGTCCTCACTTTATGATGGCTCTTTATATGCGGTAGCATTTTTCTAATTCAGGGAATTAAAAGGAAATCGAGCCAAGCCACTCCAAGGCGAGTTGGCAGAGAGTCGGAGGAGAAGATAAATGATTATTGTTAGCATCAGCTTCGGTAACTCTTCCAAAGGTAAGTGAGAGGGTCACACACCATTTAACATGTTGGCAAATTCCAGGTTCAGCTTCAATGCCAACCAGTCTGTCTCAGATGTATAACGTGTGGCAAAAGAAGATGCCACCTACCTGAAGACCTGAATTGAAAATATCAGTATGAATTCATGATTCTTTTTCTTCTTTAAAAAAAAAAATGCAGTTGAGTGCAGTGGCTCATGCCTCTAATCCCAGCACTTTGGGAGGCCAAGGTGGGTGGATCATGAGGTCAGGAACTTGAGACCAGCCTGGCCAATACAGTGAAACCCTGTCTCTACCAAAATACAAAAAATAAAAATAAATAGCCAGGCATGGTGGCCTGTGCCTGTGGTCCCAGATACTCAGGGGCTGAGGCAGAAGAATCACATGAACCCAGGAGACAGAGGTTGCAGTGAGCTGAGATCTCATCACTGCACTCCAGCCTGGGCGACAGAGCAAGACTCTGTCTCAAAAATTTGAGGAGGGAAAAAAAAAAAAACAGGTTGGATGCAGTGTGTCACACCTGTAAACCCAGTACTTTGGGAGGCTGAGGTAAGAGAATTGCTTGAGGCCAGGAGTTTGAGACCACCCTGGGCAACATAGCAAGACCCATCTCTATCAAAAAAGTAAAATACATCTGGGAGCAGTAACTGTCACCTATAATCCCAGCACTTTGGGAGGCTAAGGTGGGCAGATAGCTTGAGCCTAGGAGTTCCAGATAGTCCTGAGCAACATGTCAAGGCACTGTCTCTACAAAAAATACAAAAATTAGCCAGGCATGGTGGTGCACACCTATAATCCCAGCTACTCAGGGGGCTGATGTAAGAGGATGGCTTGAACCCAGGAGGTTGAGGCTACAGTGAACCATGAATGCATGACTACATTCCAGCCTGGGTGACAGAGTGAGCTCCTGTCTTAAAATAAATAAATAAATTGAATAAATCAATAAAAACTAAAATACAAGAGAGCTGGGTGCAGAGCCTATACCTGTAGTCCCACCTACTCAGGAGCTGAGGCAGGAAGATCACTTGAGCCCAGGAATTGGAGGTTGGTGTACGCTGTGATTCTGCCTGTGAACAGCCACTGCATTTCAGCATGGTCAGCACAGCAAGGCTCCATCACTAAAAAAAAAAAGAAACAGAAAAAGGAAAAAAATCAAGAAAAGGCAAAACAGTGACAGAAAGCAAATGAGCATGAAGAAACTTTTTGTTGTGATGAAAATGTTCTAAAACTGAATTATGGTGATGGTTGAATAAATGTGTTAAAACTTTTTGAACTGTACAATTAAAATGGGTGAATTCTATGCTATGTAAATAATACGTCAGTAACCTGTTAACCTTTATTGTTTGTTTGTTTGAATTAAAACACAAACAAAAACACAGCAACTGAATAATTCCAGATCAGAAATGGCAAAGGGGTCTAGGAGGGTGGCTCACACCTGTAATCCCAGCACTTTGGGAGGCCAAGGCAGGTGGATCACTTGAGATCAGGAGTTCAAGACCAGTCTGGCCAACATGATGAAACCCTCCCTCTACCAAAAATATTTAAAAATTAGCCGGGTGTGTTGGTGCGCACCTGTAATCCCAGCTACTCAGAAGGCCGAGGCAGAAGAATCACTTGACCCTGGGAAGCAGAGGTTGCAGTGAGCCAAGATCATGCCACTGCACTCCAGCTTGGGCAACAGTGAGATTCTGTCTCCAAAAAACAACAAAAAAGAAAGAAATGGCAAAGGGTAGGATGGGAGGCAAAAGGATGGAGGGGAGGGGCCTGCAACAAAGCCAGTGTCAGCCTTATGTCCTGAAAAATAATTAGTAAAAATTGAAATGCCCCAAACCATTAGGAAATAAGCCATATTATATATATAATATATATATATAATTTAGATAATATATATATATTACCTAAATAATAAGCCATTTGTGAGATAGTGGCTTCCACAGTTTCTCGTCTCTTAGATATAGCAATTATTATTGCTTCAATTACTTGTAGTAATTTGCATACTTAACTTTCACTCTCATTAGGTGGTCATCCCCTTAAGGGTAGAGATTGTGATTAACCACCTGTTTATATACTCCAAGTCCCTAACACAGTGCCTAGTTAACTGAGTATATTCAGTCAATGAAATATTGTGTTTTGTTGTTGTTGTTTTTGAGATGGAGGTTCGCTCTTGTTGCCCAGGCTGGAGTGTAGTGGCACCATCCTGGCTCACCACAACCTTCACCTCCCAGGTTCAAGAGATTCTCCTGCCTCAGCCTCCAGAGTAGCTGGGATTACAGGTACGTGCCACCACGCCTGGCTAATTTTGTATTTTTAGTAGAGACAGGGTTTCTCCATGTTGGTCATGCCGGTCTCGAACTCCCGACCTCAGGTGATCCGCCGACCTCAAGTGATCCGCCCACCTCGGCCTCCCAAAGTACTGGGATTACAGGTGTGAGCCTCCTCACCCCAATGAAGTATTTTTATATTTTATATATATCTATTTTAATATATGTATATAAATATATATAATACATATATTTATATATATTATATATATATATATTTTGGATAGGTAAATGTATTCACACTGTTCAAAACTCAAAGTTACATGCAGATATATAAAGTCAATAATTTCCCTTCTTCCTTTCCTCAGTCCACTGAACACCTGGTTTCCCTCCCTGGAAGTATCAATGTTACGTGTAACAGTTCTTGTGTAGTTTTTAAGAGATATTTCAAACAAATATTTTGAATGTACTTTTTTTTTTTTCTTTTTTGAGACAGGGTGGAATGCAGATCATGGCTCACTGCAGCCTTGAATTCCCAGGCTCCAGTGATCCTCCCCTTCAGCCTCCAGAGTAACTGCAAACACAGGCTCATACCATCACGCCTGGCTAACTTTTGTTTGTTTGTTTTTGACATGGAATTTCCCTCTTGTTGCCCAGGCTGGAGTGCAATGGCACGATCTCAGCTCACTACAACCTCCACTTCCTATGTTCAAGCATTTCTCCTGCCTCAGCCTCCCGAGTAGCTGGGATTACAGGCACCCGCCATTACACCTGGCTAATGTTTTCTATTTTTAGTAGAGACAGGTTTTCACTACATTAGCCAGGCTGGTCTTGAACTCCCGAACTCAGGTGATCCACTTGTCTCAGCATCCCAAAGTGCTGGGATTACAGGCGTGAGCCACCACACCAGGCAAATTTTTGTATTTTTTGTAGTGACATGGTTTCACCATGTTGCCCAGGCTGGTCCCAAACTCCTGAATCAAGAGATCCACCCATCTCAGTCTCCCAAAGAGCTAGGATTATAGGTGTGAGCTACTGTGCCTGGCCAAATATACTCGTTTTAGCACCATGATAGCATATTATACACTGTTCTGTAGGTTGCTTAGAATAACCTAGCACCATGATAGCATATTATAGACTGTTCTGTAGGTTGCTTAGAACAACCTAGCACCATGATAGCATATTATACACTGTTCTATAGGTTGCTTCAGGTAGTAACTGAAGTAAACAAGGGTAGAAGGCAGGATGGGGTTAATCCTAATGGCCTCTTAGGAGAAAATGGTTAATCAGCTAATAGTTCTCTGGGGAGGTTCAAGATGGTGAGGCAGGCAGAATCATGGCTTGAGGTTGGGGGTGATAATTATACTAGAATATGGAACTGGGTGATTTCCCTTCAATCTTAGTGTCATGGCCAGGGGAGGGGTAGCATGGCAAAGCCAAACTTACAACTAACCCTAACAAAATTAGCACATAGCAGCCAAGAGGTTATGGTAACCTCAATGGTCAGCACAGGTCCTAGCACGTAGTAGGCACTCCAGAGGAGTCCTCAACCCATCTCAACTGGATGTCATCTAATGACATAATTATTGCTTTTCATCACTAATACTGTAACATTGTCTCATATGTGTAACCAGGCATGGGGTTGGTTTTGAAACTCATGTTGGGTGAAGAGGGTATCCCCACAGGAGAAGAGCCCTCATATTGAGTATTGAAGCCCATGCAGAATTAGAAGGATGTCTCTGAATCATGGTGGCCCAGAATGGCAAGTCTAAGTCTGAAAGATTGGGAAAGCATCCATAGAGGGATGGGAGAAGTAAGAAGGGAGGGATGGGCCAGCCGCAGGAGTTGGAGCCTAAGCATGGCAAGGAGGGTGTGCACAGGGGGACTGGACCAGCCCAGGCTGTTGGAGTCCCAGAATATGAGGAAGGCGTCCCCACACAAGGGCAGCACGGTGCAAGGTGTCTGAGTGAATGCAGAGTGACAGGGGCATATGTGTGAGGGCAGACTAGCGTGGGATGTAGAGGCCCACGCAGGACAGGGGGATGCCAGGCTGTGGGACGGCCTGGCACAAGATGCTGGAGTGTAAGCAGAGTGATGAAGATGTTCCCACAGAGGGGTAGCCTGGAGTCAGGTCCAGAGCCCGAGCAGGGAGAGCTGGGCAGCCACACCTAAGCAGCCTGGGGGGAGAAGTGAGAGGGGAAATGGGGAGCAACGCATCCCAGCAGGGAGGCGGCCTGGGGCGGTGTGTCAGAGCCCAGGCAGAGTGGTGAGTCCGTCTATGCAGAAGTGGGGGTAGTAACTGTCCGACCTACCCTCTGCGGGAGGACTGAGCTCGTTCGGGAAAAAACCGGGCCGCAGGTTAGAAGAAAGTCTTAAGTTCAGGCTTTATTGAGAGGAAAGAGCCTCCGGGCGGACCAGCCGGGAAGAAGAGGAAAATGGCCGCGCCGCTCAGAGGAGCAGGGTTCTTTTATAGGGGGATAAAGGGCTGAGGGAGTGGGGAAGCCGAGAGAGCCGAGGTGGCGGGCAACGATTGGTCAGTTTAAACCGCTGGGCGGGGAAGCCGGGCGGCCGGAAGCCAGAGAGTGCTGATGAGGCAGGCAGTGATTGGTCAGCCGGTTGCTGGGCGGGAGGTGGCTGCGGCCGGGCAGGAAGGCCAGAGCGGTATGTAGAGTGGGAGATAAGGGAGCGTCTTTGTGGGGGAGGGAAAGAGAGCTTTCACGGTAGGGGCAGAGTTTTTCCGAACAGTAACAACCATTGGTTAGGCAGACAGGGATTGATCAAATAACAAATTAATACGAGGGATAATAAAAACCGTCATTCTTGGAGAAGAGAGTAAAGAAAGCAGAGAAGAAGAAAACTAGAATAAACCGTGGGCTGTTTAATAGGAACTAGAGCAAAGCTCCATCTCAAAAAAAAAAAGGAAAGAAAGAAATAGGTAAATGTAGATGTATGTACACATGTATGTATGCAAATTCATATGAACACAAACACATACATACATTCCCTAGCTCTGTTCACTGAGAGGGCCTAGGAGCAGTAATACCCCAGTACCAATGAGAGGGAGTGCCATGCTTTGTAAAACTGGTGGCTAGATAGAAAGCATAGAGAGGTCTCTGTGCCCTCGCTGGTGTCCTATCCTAAGCGTTGCTGAGGAAGCATCTTGATCCTGCTGTCAAAACATTTGAAGCCCATGGTGATTGGAATCTAACCAAAACTGCCAAAAAACAGACCAACCAACCCAGGCCCACTTTAACTTCAGATTATACTTACTCAGCTTCTGGTAGGATGTGTCCTTTGTTGGGAGTAAATATTACTTCAACCTCCACTTTCCATTTTATGCAAGAAAATATGATATATTATCAAGAGGGGAAATCATCAAAAAAGCTGGCCCCAAGTAAGCCCAGATTTTGCAGTTATAAAGGGGATTTAAAATAACATTAACAGGGCCAGGCACGGTGGCTCATGGTAATCCCAGCACTTTGGGAGGCCGAGGCAGGCAGATCATGAGGTAAGGAGATCAAGACCATCCTGGCCTACATGGTGAAACCCTGTCTCTCCTAAAAATACAAAAATTAAAAATATATATACAAAAATTAGCTGAGTATGGTGGTGCACCTCTAATCCCTACTTGGGAGGCCGAGGCAGGAGAATCGTTTGAACCCAGGAGGCAGAGGTTGCAGTGAGCCAGGATTGTGCCACTGCACTCCAGCCTGGGAGACAGAGTGAGACTCTGTCTCAAAACAAAACAAAACAAAAAAATAACATTAACAAACATGACAAAGGACCTGGTGAAAAAGGTAAACATCATGTATGAATAAATGAGAAATTGTAACAAAGAGTAGACAAAGAATGAAATACTGGAAATAAAAAACATATCAGAAATAAAGAAGTAATTTGATGTACAGTAGACTGGAGACAGCCAAGGAAATGAACAGTAAACTTAACAGCAGATCAATAAGAACATGTCATGCATTGCTTAACAATGGGAATGCGTTTTGAGAAATGCACCATTAGGCAATTTTGTCATTGAGAGTGTTAAAACATGTGCTATGAATGAAGAGACCCCCCCAACAGGTTTTGTGTGAGCAATATGGCTATTTATTTACCTGGGTGCCAGCAGGGTGAGTTCGAAAAGAGAGTCAGCAGAGGGTGGTGGGATTGGAGTTGGTTTCATAGGTTAGAGGTAGGCAGTGGAAAGTTGCAGAAGTTGCAGTTTAGGGCAGTTTTTGCAAGTTGGGAGGGGGTCATAGGCTCTTGAGTCATGAGGTTGACCAAGGTCGGTTACAAAGTCTAATTGCCTTATCAATTGAGGAAGGAATCAGGAACAACAGAGAATATCTCAAAGGTGATTAGGCACCGCAGGGGTTGATCATTTGTTCTCCCTTCTGTGGTTTTCCAGTTACTTCAGACTTTCTGGTTCTGGGAGGCCATCCAGAGGTGTGTGTGTGGGTCATGGGGGTCGCCATGGCTCGACTTAGGGTATGGCCTATGGTGCAGCCAGTTAGCCTAAAAGACCTTACAATGGGAACATCATAGAGTATATTCACGCACACCACACAGCCTACTACACACCTAGGTTGCTTGGAATAGCCCACTGCCCATAGGCTACAAACCTGCACAGGATGTTACTGTACTGAATACAGTAGGCTATTGTAACACAATGGTAAATATTTATGTATCTAAACAAATCTAAACATAGGAAAGTTACAATAAGAATACAGCATAAAAGATAAAATATGGTACATCGATGTAGGGCACTTACCATAATGGAGCTCACAGGACTGGAAGTTGCTCCAGTTGAGTGAGTGAGTGAGTGAGTGGTGAGTGAATGTGGAGGCCCAGGACATTACTGCACACTACTGTGGACTTTATAAACAGTGGACACACACAAAAAAAAATAAAAAATAATTTTAAAAAAGGCCGGGCGCAGTGGCTCACGCTCATAATCCCAGCACTTTGGGAGGCGGAGGCAGGCGGATCACCTGAGGTCAGGAGTTTGAGACCAGCCCAGCCAACAGGGTGAAACCCTGTCTCTAAAAATAAATAAATAAAATAAAAAATAAAAAAGAAGAAATAAACAGTGGACACTTAGGTGACACTAAATTTATTGTTAAATTTTTTCTTTCTTTTTTATTTTATTTTATTTTTATCCAACCCCTAAAATTTTTCTTTCTTCAGTAATAAATTAACCTTAGCTTACTGTAACTTTTTAACTTCATAAACTTTTTCATCTTTTTTAGCTTTTTGACTCTTGTAATAACACTTTGCTTCAAGCACACATTGTATAGCTGTACAAAATATTTTCTTTCTGTATATCCTTATTCTTTAAGCTTTTTTTTTTTTTCTTTGAGACAGTCTTGTTCTGTCACTCAGGCTGGAGTGCAATGGCATGATCTCAGCTCACCACAACCTTTGCCTCCCAGGTTCAAGCGGTTCTCCTGCCTCAGCCTCCCAAGTAGCTGGGACTACAGGTATGCACCACCACGCCTGGCTAATTTTTTGTATTTTTAGTAGAGTTGGGGTTTTGCCATGTCGGCCAGCCTGGTTTCAAACTCCTGACCTCAGGTGATCCACCCGCCTCATCCTCCTAAAGTGCTGGGACTACGGGTGTGAGCCACCATGAGCTGCTTTTTTCTATTTTTAAAATTTGTTATTTATTTTTCTGCTTGAGGTTGTTTTACAGTTAACTTTATATATGTATATATAAAATATTGTATATTAATGCATGTGAAGTACACTCTAAAATAATGATAAAAGGATGTATAGTAAATACATAAACGAGTAACACCATTGTTTATTATCAAGTATCATATACTATACATTATGGTGTGTGCCATACTTCTATACGACTGGTGGCGTGGTAGATCTGTTTATGCCAGTGTCACTACAAACACATGAGAAATGTGTTGCACTAGAACTTTACGACGGTTACAACATCACTAGGTGATAGGGATTTTTCAGCTTTCTTATAATCTATGGGGCCAACATCATATATGTGGTCTGTTGTTGGCCAAACTGTCATTATACAGCACGTGACAGGAATCCAACTAAAACACAAATAGAAAAACGTGGGGGGATAAAACAGAGCATCTAAGATCCTCAGGATGACAGCAAATGGTTTAACATATTTATAATTGAAGTCCCATAAGGAAAAGAAAGAGAATGAGGCAGAAGAAATATTCGGAGAGATAATAGACAAGAATTTTCTAAACTAATAAAATAAATCAATTCACAGATGGCATCAGCTCAATGAACTCCAAGCAGAATAAATGCAAAGAAAACCATCCTCAGATATATCATAGTCAAAGTGTTGAACATCAAAGATAAAAATAAATTATTAAAAGCAGCCAAAGAAAAATTATGAATGATGGTTAACTTCTCATCAGAAACAGTAGAGGCCAGAAGACAACAGAAGAGCTTCCTCACCCCCTCTTAGGGTTTGGCTCTGTCCCCACCCAAATCTTATCCTGAATTGTAGCTCCCATAATTCCTACACATTGTGGGAGGGGCCTGGAGGGAGGTAATTGAATCATGGGGATGGGTCTTTCCTGTGCTGTTCTTATGATAGTGAATAAGTGTCATGAGACCTGATGGCTTGCTTTTCTTTTCTTTTCTCTTTTTTTTTTTTTTTTGAGTCTGATCTTATTTATTTGTTACTCAAAAAATCTTATTTCTGACTGGATTCAGACTTAGAAGTAGAAGCTCACAGAGGAAAGTCTGCGTCTCTTCACAATTTGTTGCTGGCACTTCTCTTTAGCCTCCTTCATTCTCTTGGCTAAAAGTTTAGCATATTCTGCAGCCTTGTTCTTATATTTTTCTTGGTACTGCTTCTTCAGAGCAATATTCCACCACTCGTGCTGCAGGACACATGGAATAACAAGACGCTGAATCTTGGGTGCTTTGGGTCTAGGTTTCTTTTTTCTTTTTCTTTTTTCGCCGAGGCTGGAGCGCAGTGGTGCAATCTCAGTTCACTGCAACCTCCGCCTCCAAGGTTCAAGGGATTCTTTTGCCTTAGCCTCCTGAGTAGCTGGGATTACAGGCACACACCACCACACTCAGCTAATTTTTGTATTTTTAGTACAGACGGATTTTCACCATCTCTACTGGTTGGTCGGGCTGGTCTTGAACTCCTGACCTCATGATCCATCCACCTTGGCCTCTCAAAGTGCTGGGATTACAGGCATGAGCCAACACGCTCGGCCTCAGATATGTCTTTGTTAGTAGCATGAGAACAGAGTAGTACACCCCTGCCAAAAAAAGAAAACTAGAAAAGCTTCCTTAAAGAACTAGAAAAAAAAAAAAAGCAAAACCTGTCAGCCTGGATGTCTATATATATTTCAACCTAAAAGTAAATAAGAATATTTTCAGAAAAAAAGAATTCATGTTTCAAAAAACCCACTCTACCAGAAATGATTAACAGAAAAAATGTTGGATGGAAGCATAGATCTGCAGG